TTTAAAGCATCTTCAACTCACTTTTATTTTAAATATTCTAATTTAGAGGAAAAAGAAAGGTTATTACTTTTTCTTTCAATTATTGAGGAAAAAATAATAATCTTTCCTTTTTCTGTAAAATAGAAATGGGTTGGAGAGAAGTCCACATATATTTTAGAGGAAAAAAATAGAAAAAATACATTTGAGATGATTTTAATGTTAAATATATTATTAAAGGTTAAGAAAAAAAATATGAGTCAAAGAAGAGAAAAAAAAATAATTTTGATTGATTTTATGTTTTTATTTGAAATATTTAAAAATATTATCTTACACATATTAATTCTTTCATGCATATATTTTTTCTAACATATCAAAACATTATTTCATGAATCATGTTTTGTATATTAAAGCTAGGAATAGATCAACTCTTAATTTTTAATATAACAATCAAATATTAAATATATTATTTTACACATTAAATCATACACATAAAAAATTAGGTTCGATTGGCTTAAACGATTCAGTTACAGAGAGTTTGTGGAAGCGAGCGATTGCGGATTATAAACAATTTGATGAAGAGATGAGCGGAGCGCTACCGGAGAATTTTATAAAATATGATTTCACAAATTTTATAATAAATATTTATTATGTTTTTATTGAGAAACCATATATCATAAAACACTGAAAAATAATAAATTTTGATTATATACAAAACGATAAAAACGGTTTTCGTGATTGCTGTTAAACGCCACTGCATCGTGTAAAAACATAACGTTTGCAAAAAATATCAGAAAAACTTACCAACACCTAAATATTACAATTCACTTACTTCTAACTCATACCTATATGCATAAATATACTTATTATTTTTTATAAAAAAATCAACCATATGTTATAAAAATATATATTATAAAACATATACTTTATTATTTTCTTTTAATATATAAAAGCCATACTTCGGCTTTCTTACAAATATAGATGTAGATATAAATATTAATTATGCAAAAGTCAAACTCGCATACAAAATTGTCGTGTATACATTTTGTTAACCTCAATTACACTATAAGTTTAATTTTAGTTGTTAGACAATTTATATTTTTTTAAAAAATCTGTATATGTCATAAGAGCGGTGAAGTGGTTGGTACGCACGAATGTGCGGGCCAACCATCTATCCGCTCTTAGGATAAGTAAATTGTTGTTTGTGTGATTGTTGTTGAACACTAAAAATGTATGCGTGCGGACCAAAAATAAAAATTAAATAAATTATTATGAATTTTAATGTTTTCACATTTATTAAGTTACCATATTTACAGTTTTTTTTATCTAAGGAAATATGTTAAAATCTTAGTTAATATTTTTTTATCTTTATTTTCTTTTGAAATCTATAATATTTTATATTTAATTTATCATTTTTATTATTAAATGTCAATAGTTTTATTATTAATACATAGTTAATCATATACAAATGAAACATTTTTAAAACTAAACTAATAATAATTAAACATATCAAATATTTTAATCACCTAGTTCGAAATTATAAAGGAAACAAAAAATAAACAGACAGAAAATAAATTATAAGAATTCTCTTAGCTAACTATTTTTATTATAATACTGTATATATAAATAAAAGTAGAAGTAAAAATAAAACTAAATATTTACGACTTTGGTTTTATGTAAAAATCTCAGGTTATATTTTTGGTTTAAAGCATCTCCAACCCATCTTTATTTTAAATCTTATAATTTAGATAAAAAAAAGATTGTTACTTTTTCCTCCAGTTATAGAGAAAAAAATTATAGCCTTTTTTTTTTGTAAAATAGAAATAGATTGGAGAGAAGTCCACTTACATTTTAGAAGAAAAAATAGAAAATACATGGCGATGATATTAATGTTTAATATATTATTAAAAATTAAAAAAAAAAGTATGAGTCAAAGAAAACAAAAAATAAATAAGAATAATTTTGATAGATTTAATATTTTTATTTGAAATATTTATAAATATTATCTTACACATATTAATTATTTCATACATATATTTTTGCAATATATTAAAACATTATTTCATGAATCAAGTATTGTATATGTTGTGATCCATTATATTTTATATTAAAAAATATATTAAAGTTAGGAACAGCTCAACTATTAATTTTTAATATAACAATCAAATATCAAATATATTATTTTACATATTAAATCATACACATATAATTTTAGATTTGATTGGCTTAAACGATTCGGTTACATAGAGTTTGTGGAAGCGAGTGAATGCGGATTATAAAAAATTTGACGAAGAGATGAACGAAGAGCTACCAGAGAATTTTATAAAATATGATTTCACAAATCTTATAATCCTTGTTTATTATATTTTTATTTAGAAACCATATATCATAAAACGCTGAAAATAAAAAAATTTGATTAAATACAAAATGATAGAAACGGTTTTCGTGATTATTGTTGAACACCAATAACTGCATCATGTAAAAATATAACGTTTGCAGAAAATATCAAAAAACTTACCAACACCTAAGTATTACAATTCACTTATTTCTAACTCATGCCTATATGCATAAATATACATATCATTATTTTTATAAAAAATCAACCATACATTATAAAAATATATATTACGAAACATATACTTTGTTATTTTCTTTTAACACATGAAAGTCATAATTCAATTTTCTTACAAATATGAGTGTAGATATAAATATTAATTATGCAAAAGTCAATCTCACATGCAACTTCTCGTGCATACATTTTGTTAACCTCGATTACACTCTAATTTTAATTTTACTTATTATATAATTTATATATTTTTAAAAATCTTTATATATCCTAAGAGCGGTGAGTTGGTTGGTACACACGAATGTGCGGGTCAACCATCTACTCGCACTTAGGATAAGTAAATATGGTAAAATTTATTTTGTTTTAATTAGCAATAGATCAATAACAAATATATACTTAAAAATATATATATTGGCAAGATTTTATTATATAAGGAGAAAAAGAAAGTATAGTATAAATAATATTCGAAACATATTATAAATATTTAATTATTATTTAATATAACTTTTTACATTTGCAATTATATGTTACTGTAAACGCTAGAAAAAATAAAAAAATATCTAAAGGTACAAAACAATAGGAAACGTTTGTGTGATTGTTGTTGAACACTAAGACTGTATATGTATAAAATATAATATTTACATAATGTATAAGAAAATTAATCAATACTTAAATATTACAACTAAAATTATGTTTATTAAAAAAGTTATCATATATTTTAAGGTTTTTTCGTTTATTTAGTTATCATATTTATACTTTTTTTATTTAAGAAAATATTTTAAAATATTAATTAATATCTTTTATCTTTATTTTTTATTAAAATCTATAACATGTTATATCTGATTTATCGTTATTTTTTATTATTAAATATTTATAATTTTATTATTAATACATAATTAATTATATAAAAATAAAATATCTTCAATACTATATTAATCATAATTTAATATATCAAATATTTTCTAGCTTCACACGGTGCAGACCGATCACCTAGTATTTGTTAATAGTTAAAACCAACCATGTATTGCACATAACAAAAAATAACAAAAGATCTATTGCTTTGAAGGATATCTTAATAAATTTGTGGGATTTGTTTACCTGTGCTATGAAAGTAATTACAAGATTTTGTTTTTGTTTCTTTTTTTCATTTTTTGAAATTGGAATATATATGCATATATATATATATATATATAACTTAAGGTTTCTAAAAAAATTACCGAAATGCCATTTATTTAATATCAAATAATGGTTGGTTTAAATAAATTATATTTAGGCTTATCCAAAATTCTATGATTTATTAACCCAAAAAAAACTTCCATAATAATTGTGATGAGTCCAACTTTTTTTATTAAAAAATTCTTTTATTAGGCAATGTGTTCAATTAAAAGATAAATTTAGTCATTCATTGAACAAAGCTTTATGATAGGGTAAACTTATAGAAAAATATATCTTTGATTTAACTATATTTTCAAATTTGTTTCACTAGCATTTAAATAGCTTAAGTATTTTTATATTTACTTGGAGCCAACTCCAAATCTTTTTTTTCAAATAATATTTGTGAAATGAAAAATTAAAATTTTAAAGAAGGCTTTTGAGAATATATTGCCTAGCCTTCTTCTTTAGCCAACAAATATGGTGTCAAAAATTATGTTAGCAAAAGAAAAAAGGAAAAACAGATATGTTTCCAAATTTTATTTTATTTATTTATCATTATGATATTTCCTAATTTAAGTAACTACAAAAATAATTTAATAAAAAGAAATTAAGTTTTATCCTGTGAGGAGCCTAGAAAAGGACGTCAGCAAAGCAAGAGTCAATTCAAAAAATAAAATCTTACAAACTCTTAAATGCACAAATTTTCCTTACGAATAAGCTTCTCTCTCTACAACTTTTAGAGATAGAGAGACAGAGAGTGGGACCATCCAACGAAGAGGAAGGTGAAGATGATGAAGAAGATGATGATCATGGAGATTCGCTTTGCTAAGTAGCCCCTCTCGCGAGTTCCAATTACTTTCTCAAAAAATTCCCAGAAAAAGTCATTTTTTTCCATCGATTCATCGTTCATAAATCACCCAAATTCCCCTCTCTCTGTTTTGATCTACGAATCGTCTCTGTTTTACAGACTTATCCAAACCAAAAAAAATGCAGACTCTCATATTTTGTTTTTTTACGATCTGTCGGTTTCTCAGGAAATAGAATAAAGAGAAAAAGAAAAAAAAAAGCTCTGCTTTCTCTTTCTTTCGTCTTTTTCTAGATCGCATTCCTAACTGTCGCTTTTTTGTTTCCAGCGATATTACTTTTCTCACAAATCTCGCCAAATTTTATGACATTTCATCGAATTTAGCAAACCCTTTGTCTCCAAATCTAATCCTTGCGTCAATCTCGGTCCCAAAATCAAACCTTTTTCTTCTTCCCCTTTTCCTCTGCTTTTTGATTGATTGATCGATTTTTCATTAAAATGGGTTGTGCAAGCTCGAAGCAACGAAAGCGTTGTCCTAATTGTCGCGGAGGATTATCTCCGGTGGTTGTTCCTCGAAGCTACTCAATGCACGTTCATCACCCGGCGCAACATTCCGGCGATAGCTACCACACGGTGGCTCTCACTTCCACCACCATCGGATCTCTCACCCTCTGCGATTCTCCTTTCAGGCATATTCACAAACACTTGGAAGGCATCCGCGAAAAGCGGCTCCTTTCCGACCAATTGGATGAGAAGAAGCTAATCTCCGATGATGGGTTTCATCACGGCGATGAAACGAAGGATCTCGAGGTTGAACCCAAGGGGAATCTGCAGTCTAAGCTTATCGAAGCCAAGGTTTGGTCGAGTATGATGAATGAGAAAATCCCTAAAGTTGTGCCTAAAACTCCGATTGTGACTCCTCCGGGAGAGCCGGAGACGATCAATACGTGGGAATTGATGGAAGGTCTTGAAGATGCTAGCCCTTTACGATTACCGAATCATGTGAGAAGCTTCTCGTTTGATGTTGTTCGTGTTCAACCTTGTAACGATGATGATGAAGATGATGATGCTTGTCCTGCTCCGTTTGATCGACCAAAATCAAGGTTTCACGAGAATGTGAAATCGAATAGCAGATTTGATGAATTGGATCCTCCTGAGATCGTTTCGACTTTCAGGAAATCGCTTCAAGAACTCCCAGATGATCATCCTTTTCATATCCGGATTCCAGATTTGAAGACGAATTCATCAGATGAAGAAGAAGAAGCAAACTTCAAAGGAAAGTCAGATAAGGTGATTCTTTACTTCACAAGCCTTAGAGGTATAAGGAAGACATACGAAGACTGTTGCAATGTCCGGGTCATACTGAAAAGCTTAGGGATTCGTCTCGATGAGCGTGATGTATCGATGCATTCGGGTTTCAAAGATGAACTGAAGAAGCTATTGAAGGATGAATTCGACAATGGCGTTGGAATAACCTTACCTAGAGTTTTCTTGGGGAACAAGTATCTCGGAGGTGTTGAGGAGATCAAGAAGTTGAATGAAAATGGGACACTCGAGAAGCTTATAGAAGGCTGCGAAAGAGTCAAAGATGGCTTAACGTGTTGTGGGATTGAATGTGATGCTTGTGGAGATATTAGGTTTGTGCCGTGTGAGACATGTTCAGGGAGCTGCAAAGTGTATTATGAGGATGAAGAAGATGAAGACGATGAAGAAGAAGAAGCAGAAGAAACAGAGTATGGGTTTCAAAGATGTTCAGATTGTAATGAGAATGGACTGATCAGATGTCCTATCTGTTGTGAGTACCCTTGAACATACAAAATCCAATTTCCTATTTATTTTGAGGGATTATGAATTTCCAAATTGTGGAATTTTTGGTGTTGTGAGGAGGCTGGAGAAGTTATTGTTGTACAGTGATGCTCTGATTGATAGTGAAATGGAGACTTTAGGTCAAAATGTATAAAAATTTAATTAATATTGGGGATGGGTTGTTTTTGTAAACTTGTCATAACGAAGCAAAACCAAAGCATAAATAAAAAGTATATATATTTGTTCTTCTTCCCTTTGATGAGAATTGTTTTTTTTTTCTTCAGTTTTTTTTCTGTTTTGTTTCATGGAGTATTAAATTAAGATCTATAAGTTAAATAATGTATATTTAAATTAGTTTTAGTTTTAGGGAAGAAAATGTAAGCAGAGACTGTAGAGAGTAGGTGTTGAGGAGAAATCAGCTGATAAAATCTGACTTTAGAAAATGTATTTTGTGAATCAAACAAAACACTAAAAACTGAACATGAGTTTACATCACTTTTCTCTTTAAGCATGTTCCATCCATTATCGCTTAATTAATTAACTCTAAAGCAAATAAAGCAATCAATCAAGTTGTTCAAACATCTACAAATCATTGGTTTAAAGCTCAGCTTTCCTATTATTTACCAAAAAGCTTAGCGGAATGTCATAAGATAAACTAACGTTGATTCCAAGATTACTTATATGGTTTTTTTTTTTTTTTTTTTTTTTGTGTAATTGAAGTTTGCATTTGCGTTTCGAAACACTCGAGGTCTTATAAATGGCATCGCCAACGCCTAATAAGAATTAACCAACACACAAATGTTAGAAGGTTATAGTCAAATTTGCAGACAACAATATACATTTACAAAACTGTTGAAAGACTCAAGAAACATGGAGGAAGCACTAATAAAAGACTCGAGAAAGAAAGCTACAACCTGATTTACGCTAGAAATACTATAAAATCAAAATCTCGAAAGTAAAACAAAGCAAAAATCGACAATGTGCAGTTGAGCCACCATGCAATGGCCATGATGTGTGGTGGTGATGAAGAAGCAGTTTTCATTTGAATTTTATAGATGTAAGAGAGTGTGATAGATATACGTTGATGATGCATGAGATAGAGAGTGAGTATGACATGTTTGTTTCTCCATCCAGATAGTTCATCCAAATGGTGATGAAAGTTTTGATTGTTTTGTCACAAAATAATAGCAACATTTAGATGTCGAATGAATTTTGAAAATTTAGCCAATTTGTTAAATTCATTTAGATGAACCAAATTAGATAGAGATGATTCAGTCTAAAATAACAAATTTCTAAAATACTTTTAATTATCCAAATAAAATATTTAGATGCAAATTCTAAATTATCAAACAATTATGACCTAAATTATATAAGATAATTATTCCAAAAATAAAATAAAACAGTAGATCATGTTTTCTATCCAAACAACAAAATCAAAATTTTGGGCTAAAATCGTAAATTCTTATTTTTTGTCAAAAAAACGAGAAAGCAAAAATTTTACCATAACCGCTAAAACTGTAAAATCATGTTTTCCATCGAAATTGCAAAATTAGATTTTTCTACTAAAACTGTAAAATCGCAATTTTCTCTTTAAATGTAATTTTGTGAAGAAAAGTTCATTTAAATGTAAATTTTATTATTTTAATAGGTGTGTGTATGGGAAAATCTTTGTCCGAAGATAAAACGTACTCTTCCAATTCAGCATCAAGCCCTCCAATTGAACATCTTGAACTTGTCTCTGCTGACAACATAATTGGTTTTGTCAAGAATGTGTATATCATTGTCTGAGAAATAATAGATTTACACGTAGTTGTGCAAATTTTCTTTGTTATTGTGGAGAAATTATGCCTAGAGGAAACGGGTTCTTTGGAACTAAATAAAAATAAAATAAAAATAATAATAAAAATAATGTTTTTAAATGTGGGTTATTTGTTTTTAAGTTTATTTAATTACCATAAAAAATAGTTCATACGTTTTTTGTGTATGTATTGTATAGATTTATAGCTCATAGTTCAGAAGCAGTTTTCATTTGAATTTTATAGATGTAAGAGAGTGTGATAGACATACGTTGATGATGCATAAGATAGAGAGTGAGTCTGACCTGTTTGTTTCTCGATCCAGATGGTTCATCCGGATGATGATGAAAGTTTTGATTGTTTTGTCACAAAATAATAGCAATAGTTAGATGTCGAATGAATTTTGAAAATTTAGGCAAATTTGTTAAATTTATTTAGATGAACCAAATTAGATCATCTAGATGAAGATGATTCAGTCTAAAAAACAAATTTCTAAAATACTTTTAACTATCCAATTAGTATACTTAGATGCAAATTCTAAATTATCAAACAACTATGACCTAAATTATATAAGATAATTATTCCAAAAAAATTAAAACAGTAGATCGTGTTTTCTATCCAAACAACAAAATCAAAATTCTGGGATAAAATCGCAAATTCTTATTTTTTTGTCAAAAACGAGAAAGCAAAAATTTTCATCATAACCTCTAAAACTGTAAAATCATGTTTTCCGTCGAACTTGCAAAATTAGATTTTTCTACTAAAACTGTAAAATCGCATTTTTCCGTCATAATCAAGAAATATCTGAAGACAAATTCATTTAAATGTAAATTTAGATTTTCATTTATAAATTTATATAACATGATCTTTTTATATATGTTTCATTTTTGTTTAATTCAAATTATCTGAATTTATATGAGTAAAATCAATTTATAAATGATAAAAAAATTGAAAACTATTTGTTAATAAATATATTTTAGATCAATACTTAAAATTAATATAACTAAAATTAATAATAAAAATATGATTAGATAAGAGTATGGGTATTTAGGTATTTTTTAGTAAAATCATCTGGATGAAAATATAAGCTAAAAAACAAACACATTTACTTTCAAAAAAATCATCTAGATGGAGATGAAACATATAACAACATTAAACATATATCATCTGAATGGATTATGTGGATGGACTATCTGAATAAATCATCTAGATGAAGATGATAAAGGATGAAACAAACAAGGCCTATTGTTGGATCCATTTTAACTATGACCAATATTGAGGCGGCACGTGGACACTGAGTCCCACTAAAGCGATGACTTTCTCCTGATATGCCTGCCACCAACTCTTTAGTGAACTGTTCCCGGGCAGGTGGCATGCTTAATAAAACAGGCGTACTATACTAAGCTGGATGCTCCCGTGGCGTGCGCACGGATGGGACATGACGAGTTAGAAAATGCATAAAAAGTGGCTGAGGGCCTAAGGAGAGAGGAGGACAACCCGACGAGAGAGAGGGAGAGAGAAAGACCGATCCCCTAACTCGAGATCCGATTTCGGATCCGAGGAATGGAAAAACCTCCGACCTCCATCTCGCTGTAGCTAACCCCAAGCATATTACTCATTTGTGCTATTACCAAAAGCAACAAAGTAAAACAAAACAAAGTTACATGAAACAACAAAATGCAAGGCAACAAAGTAGAAGAAAACGAAGTTACATGAAACAACAAAATGCAAAGTCAAGAAACATTAGGGAATAAGACAAAAATACATAGTTTAAACCAATTATATAGAATATGAAAAAGCAACATAGAGAATCAAGTTATAGCCGATTACATAGAACCACAAAACTAAACAAAGTTTGATAAAGTTAAAGTGCAATAAGATAAAAAAGGAACAAAGCATCATCTTGAGACATATGATCCTACTTATGATATTCCCTGTAATTCTCCTTCCTACATACCAAGTAAAGTATAATATTTATAAAGCCCTTCAAAGAAACTCTGAAAACTCTAAAACAAAATGTAATACTTAAACTAACACTAATATGATCTATTTTTAATCTTTCCCTTCGCCTTTTAGATTCAGGTTCAACAGCCAGTTTAAAACATGATAACCTATTGTGCCTTTCTTCCCCGTAGTTCGAGCATGTCGTGATATGCTTCTCACAGTTTAACATGGTCTCTTTAGAGGAAGAGGCAGATTCCTTGAGGCTTTTACGTCTAGCATAGTTACTTTGCCTACCAGGAATACCTAATCTAGTTGGTGGTGGCAAGAGAGGTAATCTATTCATCCTCAGCCACATCTTCATACCTTCCACAAGCCTAATCCTATGCTAATGTGTTTTTCTCCACATTTGAGTTGTGTAATATTCAGACACATAATCATCAATCTTCTCATTTTTTGCTAGGATAACACACACAATATGAATACACAGAATACCATTCAACTGCCACATCCCACAGCTATACGTTTTGGGACCCATTTTAACATTATAAGCACAGCCGTGATAATCTATTTCATGCTCATTATCACAAGACATGTATATGATGCAATTTCGAGACTTTTCTATAGCTGATTCAATTACAGTATGTTCCCTTTTTGTGAATCTAGTCTTCAACCTATTTGCAACAATAGGCCTTTTTCAGTACGCATCATACATTGTCTCCTTATATTCTATAGCAATTCAAGTAATGGTTTTCTCCTAGCCTCAGAGATGGTTCTATTGAAAAATTCATTAAGATTATTCAAGTTATCATTGCAGCATGAACCAACCTTAAAGAAATCCGAGACCATGTAGGAGGATTGGTGAGTTGAAGAGAATCATATGCACATTGATTGTAACGCTTCAACTATTCTGTATTTTCAGTGTAAACTTTGTCGGTGTAACTTCGGACTATTCTCCAAAACAGCCGCTCTAGCTCTAGATCATGGCTGTCTCTTTTCCAGATTTCTAGAATGTGTCGAGCACACATTCGATGTTCAATGTGTGGAAGATCATTGCGAACAGCTTTCACCAAATCCTTCAAAAGAAAAGAAAGACTATTAAAAACTAAGAAGTTAGCTATTAAGCAGAAACAAAATAGAGTTCTGGATAATATTATCACCGAAACTCAACAAAATTTCCATAGTAGTATTCAAGAAATCCATCAAACAAAACAAATCAAACTCAACATTGTACATAAACACATATAAAATTTACTTGTTGCTTAT